GGTGAAAACAAAACTTTTGTTATTTCACATTGCGATGAAAATGAATGCATTTACTTAACGACTATTAATACATTATTAAATATCGTATTATAAACATCTATGTATTTACAGTACTCTGTGTGGTACTTTTCATATGCATCCCTCCCTGTTTTCAATGAAGGATAAGAGTCAATATGTTATTTTTAAATGGACAGATGAGATGCAGGTTTGAAGTAAAAAGTGATTATATGACGAATTAAAATGGTTTAATAAAAAAAATAAACGAATTGGATAAGCAGATTTTGTCGTTATTGTTTGTGTTTAGTTTTGTTTATCATGCCATTGTTACAGTGTATAACATTTCTTTAAAAATTGATTCACTACACCAACAACTATGACGTAATTATTGAAAAGGTTGAAAGTAAAATGTACGGATTGTAATTTTTTAATCTCTTAAAGCAACTAACTGACAAATCACAGAATTAGATGTGATCGGATGACCGTCTTTTCTGTCCTATAATAAACAACTTTTGATTAAAAAAAAGAGTAAAAACTAAATAAAATATCACAATGTCAATATGACAAAAACAAAGAAACAAACACATTGAAAAGTGACAACGTCCAAACAGAAGGGATATCAATGTAGCCTTTCATTGGTGTGTCGTCTATTAGTGATGATATAGGAAAATAAAGAAAGCCCGATTGTAGTCGGTTTTATAACAACCCCTTTTCTTACCTGAGTTGATTTAGCTGATATCTCACCTGTTTGATCTGTTACCTAGCCCTCTCTTATACAAAATCTGAACCTATTATATGCATATGATATATCAGTATTTAGTTTTTTTTGTTAAATCTATCAGTTTTAGGTAATTAGATAAAACATATATCAGATATTTTTTTTAAAGACAATCTATTGTCTTAGATTTTACATACATATTACAATAATGTTTTGTTTTTGTGTGTGAGTGCGTCTTTTTTTTGCAGACAGGAAACGATAAATAGAATGAATAGACAATCAATTAAGTGCTTAGTATATAGTACAATATTCAGTTGAATTCAATAGTGCATCTACACATGATTCAATAATTTCTAAATGTTTTAATATACAATCTGACGTAACATTACATAACCAAGATAAAATAATCACTATATATTAAGAGTTTACATTCAAATATACAAATACATTTACATTACTTTAAATAAATCAAGAGATGCAAGCTAACGTACAATCTGCTAAATATGTTCATTTCAGTCAAATCTACAGTTATATTAACATTACTATTTGGGATATGTACATGTAGGAAGTAAATAAGGTAATAATCGTTATTCAGGGGGGACGTTACTTCTGATTAAATAAGTTATTGTTCCGTATCTCATTCGCTTCAAAAATGAAACCGGTAATATTTTCCAATGTACTCATGCTCGTAGACGAAAATTAATTCCAATAACTTTAGTCTATTTGGGTGATGAAAATACCTTCTCTTGATATACATGTGTCTTATCATTATGAGTTAAAGGAGTCATAAATAGCCGTTATATGCACATGCGTAGGTAAATCAGGTATACCTTTCTGTTTCTATAATAAATAAAAGGAATATGATATGTACATTCATAAAAATAATGACTTAGGTGTAGCAGTTAAGTATCATGTTTGTTAGAAGCTCAGCATTACATAGCAGGCTTGCGTATAAATCAATTATTGACTGCAATCAAAAACTACGTCGAAATATAAATTTCATCCAGTGAAATTTGATAACTCGTTAAAAATATAATCGCACCTGTTACTTAATTCTCCTGTTAAGTTTTATGTTCATAATTTGATGCTGACTATGAATAGCACATAAAAGACATATCGCTTCGAATACACACATCGTGTTACCACCCGTGTGGCTTCACGCATACAAAGTATTTGCCGTAAACTCGGTCCTTACATTGTACACGTTGACCTATACTTAGCACCTGTTGTCGCATATGTACACGGTACAATGATTTTTGGAAAACCCCGAATTCGCCGCCATATTACAACTGACTGGAGAGTAAACAGTCATGGTAGTAGCCAGTTAGGAAAATGGCATAAAATGGCGTCTCAGGCTCCCGTACCCGGATGTCTCCTCCATCCAGGAATGGGGTTTGTTTATATATGTAAGTCGTGTGGACACCAGTTATTGTGTATGGATTGTGTGGTAGAGAGTCATGATAGAAATCACACGCTCGGTAAACTGACTGATTACGTGTCGAAATAAAAACAGGAAATACAGCAGTAAAAATTGTTGCTTTCCAAAAAAAAAATTCTATTCCAAAAATTGAGAGAGATATTCAACAAAAGGATCAGGAATTTGAGACAGAAAGGAAACGCCTTCAGGAAATGAGTGAAGATATTTAATTGAAGGGACAATAGTTGCAAAAGGAGATTGACAATCTCACTGATATGTAAGTATCATTAAGCGCTGACCTTCAAAAGAATAATGCTGACATAACTGAGAAAAACCAAACTGTTTTACTTAAAATTCTGAAGGAAGAATTAAAACCGAAAGTAGACAGATGTCAACAAGTACTGACGTCTAGTACTAACGATGACGTCATTACTCTAGGGCGGGAACTGCGAAGTACCCCAACTGTCCAACCCAATCTTGGAACTTTAAAAACGATATCCTGTTAACCTGGGCCAGTGTCGTCTCACCTCCTGAAGCGTATGCTTGGTACTAGACTTGTCAATGGGGAGTATCAGTTGTCAAATCTGTGGTGCTAGTTGACAGGATAACGGGACGCTTTATGAGAACTATATACACCTCTGTTGGAAGCAGACCTCGATGTATCAACCTGCATAAGGACGGCAACCTCTTAGTCGGACACGTGGACGGTGTAATGCAAGTCATAGACTATGACGAGTAGACGTGTCAATATATCACAAATCATTGTATGTTACACACGGATGACACGTTCTTGTAGTAAATAACATCTCATTAAACTAAGGACAAACTAGATTACCTTAGGACATGCTCATTGATATCCTGATGTATCGGATTACCCTCGGACATTGATCCACTGACGTATCCAATTACTATCGGACATTGATCCACTGACATATCGGATTACCCTCGGACATTGATCCACTGACATATCGGATAACCCTCGGACATTGATCCACCGATGTATCAGATTACCCTTTGACAAGAACATTGATAACAAGATATATCGGGCTATCCTCGGACATTGATATCAAGATATATCGGGCTATCCTCGGACATTGATATCCTGATATATCGGGTTATCCTCGGACATTGATAACAAGATATATCGGGTTATCCTCGGACATTGATAACAAGATATATCGGGTTATCCTCAGACATTGATATCAAGATATATCGGGTTATCCTCGGACATTGATAACAAGATATATCGGGTTATCTTCGGACATTGATATCAAGATATATCGGGTTAACCTCGGACATTGATAACAAGATATATCGGGTTATCCTCGGACATTGATAACAAGATATATCGGGTTATCCTCGGACATTGATAACAAGATATGTCGGGTTATCCTCGGACATTGATATCCTGATGTTTCGGGTTATCCTCGGACATGAACATTGATATCCTGATGTTTCGGGTTATCCTCGGACATTGATAACAAGATATATCGGGTTATCCTCGGACATTGATAACAAGATATATCGGGTTATCCTCGGACATTGATATCAATATATATCGGGTTATCCTCGGCCATTGATAACAAGATATATCGGGTTATCCTTGGACATTGATATCAATATAAATCGAGTTATCCTCGGACATTGATATCAATATATATCGGGTTATCCTCGGACATTGATATCAAGATATATCGGGTTATCCTCGGACATGAACATTGATATCCAGATGTTTCGGGTTATCCTCGGACATGAACGTTGATATCCTGATATATCGGATTACCCTCGGACATTGATCCACTAACATATCGGATTACCCTCGGACATGAACATTGATATACATAGATTACGATGTAAACTGTTTGTTCGTTAGAGATTGAATGTCTTTGTTAAAAACTATCAGAATTACTTGTAGTTTGTATCAATATTCTTTAACATTCTCTAAAATGTTCGCTTAGATTTAAAAAGAAAAGTATCTTCTAGTCCATTGGCATCAATAAACAAAACGTCCCTGATCCGGCTTTTTAAACTTTTTGCATAGTTTCTCTGTATCTTATATCTTTCTGAACTATGAGGCAAAGCAACGCGAGTTAATATAGACGATTTCTAATCTACTTCCATTTCCCAACTCAGGCATGTTAAAAAATTATGCAGGAATGCTATCTCTGTAATATCGATACACTTATCTTTTAAATGGTCACACATTTTATCAGTAGAACCAAAGTTGTAAATGATAACGAAATAAATAGATAAAGTCTCAAATTTATTCATGGAATTTTCTTTCCATAAATAAATTTGGGACTTTATCTTATCAAATACAGTAGTCAATAATTGCAGTTTTTGTTATCCTATTCTCCTTTCTGATATATTATTTCAGCATATCATTAATTTGAATTTCAACAATGGCTGCGTTGTCGTCCGAAAGTTCCCCTTCGTTTCGAATGATATTTAAAATAAAAAGTATCATGGCAGTTTTCATGTACAAACAGAGCCCATCGTTCAACGGGAGGTAACTCGAAAAAATAGACGTTCGATATTTATATAATTTCAACCGGTTGACGGTAGTAATTAGGATGTAATTATTTTCTCTTTGGTATGAGAAACGCCAATAGATGGCGATATTTGTGGTATTTGCACGTGGAAATGGTCTGGGTTGTTACCTATACGTGTCGTTCAGGCGACACAGGAAACAAGAAGCACACGTGCATTTTTAAATTTTTAAATGGGGTTATTATATTGAGATTAATAGGTTAGGAGTTATATGTTTGTGTGTGAGATGTGCATTATTGTGTGATTGTGCTTATTAATCATGATGATTGTAAATAAACATCGGTCAGTGCCTATGTCGCTGGGAAATACAGTTTTTATATGGAACAGAAAGGGTTGTTCCTGGCGGTATCATTAAGAGGACAAGCACAAGATGTCCTTGGAAAGCCCGACGACCGGCAACAGCATTACTCAATACTGATAAAGTCTCTCGAGGATAGGTTTGCGCCGCCACACGAAACAGAACTATACCGTGTCCAATTGTGGGGTAAGAGGCAAAAGCCTGGGGAGACCCTGCGAGAGTTAGGGCAGGCAGTACGGAGACTAACGACCCTAGCGTATCCTACAGCACCAGAAGAGATACAGGAAACACTTGCCAAGGAGCAGTTTATCGACCCTTTAATTGATTCCGACATGCGTATAGGAATAAAGCAATGCCGACCTTCTAACTTGAACGAAGCGGTACGCTTAACACTAGAGCTGGACATGTATAAGCGGGCTGAAAAACGTCATGATGACGGGACCGGCTTCTTGCGACAGACCGTTGTAGAAGACGAGGTCACAGAGAGTAGCGCACCGGAAAACGAGCTGGGGTTAATGATAAAGGCATTGACAAATCAACTGGCAACCTTACAGAAGGACGTAGGTAAATTGAAGTCTGTCACTGCATCAAGTACTCGGGATCAGCAAAGGAAAGAGGCTGGAGAGACAAAAGGCAATGGGAAGTTCCGGTGCTATAACTGTAGAGAGCAGGGGCATAGCAAACGGAATTGTCCAAAGTGAAAGAAAAGCACAAATAAGCAGGTTACAGCCACAAACAGTGACACCGATGACGAACAACGCTCTGTGGGCGCCGCATCATGTTCACAAGAGGCTGGTATGTTTATTACAGTCTATGTACAAGGGACTAAGGCCAATTTACTCGTTGACACTGGGGCCACGGTTACACTTATGTCTATCTCACTTTATGAGAAAATGGTAGATAACGTCAGTACGCAAAGTATCACAGAAGATAGTGACAGCCAGCGGTACGCCATTGCGTGTGAGGGGCAAAGGTGCATTTTCGTTGTATCTTGAAGATAATGTAAGGTATACTGACGCAGTTGTGACTCAGATTGGTGTTGACGGAATACTGGGATTGAACTTTTTAAGGGCAAACCACTGCAAGGTGGATATGGACAAGAACGTGTTGATAATGAATGGCATCAGCATACCTGCGCAGATTAGAGGAGAGGTTGGATGTTACCGAGTGAGTATTACTGCCAAGATTGAGCTTCCAGCGCGCAGTGAGGTGATCATACCGGGGCGTGTCATAGTGCCTGACGGTGCCCTAGAGCAAAGCACAGATCTTATGCTAGAAGCCTCGGAGAAATTCCTGCAGTCAGATAAAGCACTAATAGCAAGGTATCTGGTTAAGTATGAAGAAACTGTTCCAATACGTGTTATGAACACAGGGGATAAACAACAGACAATTTACCCTGGTACATGTGTGGCTACGGTAACGAAAGTTGAGGGTGTACAGCAAGACAGGGAATCGCAGGAGAATGCCTGGCGAAAAGACATCGAACAGTTAATAGATCGGTCCAAGGCCCATTTATCTGATGAGGAATTAAATAAAGCGAAAAGACTGCTGTTCAAATACAAGAATATTTTCGCTGCAACAAACTCCGACTTAGGGCGCACAGACAAAGTGAAACACCAAATAGACACGGGCACCGCACGGCCCATCAAGCAACGGATGCGACGCATCCCAATTCATCAGTCCGTTGAAGTAGACACGCATGTGGAAGATATGCTAAAGAAGGGAGTTATTGAGCCCTCAAACGGTCCATGGTCCTCTGATGTGGTATTAGTAAAAAAGAAGAACGGCACCACTCGTTTTTGTGTCGATTACCGCCGTCTAAACGACGTGACAGTAAAGGATGCATATCCGCTCCCGCGGATTGACGATTCGCTGGACAAACTTGCGGGGTGCTGCTGGTTCTCTACACTCAGGTTATTGGCAGGTCGAAATTGGACCCCAATGATAAACCTAAGACGGTGTTTACCACCAGGAAAGGTCTATTTCAATTTCGAGTGATGCCTTTTGGTTTATGTTGCGCACCAGCCACATTTGAAAGGCTGATGGAGTCTGTACTTGCCGGTTTGCATTGGGACATCTGTGCAGTATACCATGTAAACAGTGTGGATACCGGTCAGATTGGGAAGAACAATCTCTTGCTACAATCAATGCTGCGGCAGCCGCCGACAGCAAATGCAGTGACCCTAAATCTATAGAAAATGACCCAGTCATACGCCAACAACAGACAGCTGACAAAGATTTGAGCATTGTAATACAATGGTTATAGAGAGGGGAAATGCCTTCATTTGAAGACATTCGAAGTCGGAGCTTTGTGATTAAATCCCTCTGGTCACAATGGAATCAGCTCATGTTGGAACAAGGAATTCTGTACCGAACTGGGGTTCTGACAAATCTCAAGGCACTCTACAGGCCATAGTACCTTGTCTATCCGTCTATCTGTCAACTCATTCTAAAGTAGTGGACCAATTTCAACGAAAGTGTCCAGATATCATAACTGACACCTGAAGTTGTGCATCCAGGTATTATTTTTTCATTCTGACAGAGAGGAGAGCCTTCCTACAACAATGTCATGACAGTAGGACAGCAGGGCACCTGGGAATGCGGAAAACTTTCAGCAAGATACGACAGGGGTACTATTGGTCTGGCTTACAGGGGGACACTAGGAAGTATGTTGCCGGGTGTGAAGTTGGTGCAAGGCGTAAGAATCAAGTAAAGAAAAACAGAGCGTCGATGCAAATTGTACAGTCGGGGTTTCCAATGGAACGAATAGAAGTCGACATATTGACTTACTTACCGGAAACAGAGAATGGCAATAGGCATGTACTGGTAGTAGGAGACTACTTCACGAAGTGGATGGAGTGTTTTGCCATGCCCAATATGGAGACTAAGACTTTTGCGGCGGTGATAGTCTAGGAAGTCATATCGAGGTTCGGTATGCCTTATGTGAACACTCCGATCAGGGCGCTCAGGTTGGAAGTAGGTTGTTTGCTGAGATGTGTCAACTCCTAGGTATCAGGAAGACACGCACTTCCCCATATCATCTTCAGAGTGACGGAATGGTGAAAAGGTTCAACAAAACCTTGGTGACAATGCTTAGTGCTTTTGTCAAAGACCACCACACAGACTGGGATGAGTTTCTGCCATATGTAACAATGGCCCAATGCTCAGTAGAGCAGGAGATCAAGGGTTGCACACCAAATTACCTGATGCTTGGTAGGGAGATTACAACACCACTGGACAAACAGTATGAGATGCCAGTAGATGGCAAAACCACACCTAAAAAACTGGGTATGGGAGCTACATGACCGAATGGAGGAGGCCCGTCGTTTTGTGAGACTACACACGGAAGGGGATATGAGAAGACAGAAGAAATATGACCAAAAAGTCTCCTGGAGCAAGTTTCAGACAGGATATAATGTATTTGTCTTCTTTCCTCACGTCAAGCCTGGGAAATCCAAAAAACTAACCTCCACGTGGCAGGGACCGTTCAAGGTGACGGAAAAGTGTACGGACGTGACGTACAAAATACCTTGTGGGTACCGAGGAAAGCAACAGGTAATACATGTGGACCGCATGAGGCGACATCGGTCACAGATACTGCGCGGCGAGACCGAGTTGCAAACTTTAGAAAGCCAGTCTCCGGAGGGCGATGGGGAAGAGTGGACGGAAAGCAAGGACATCGTCGAACATCAAGAGTTGGTAGAAGATACAGAAACCGGCGGCGCATCCAACATGGGGCTTGAACCCTCACGCGATCGTCCGCGACGTTACAGACACCATCCAAGCTGGCATCGCGATTTTATCTGTTAGGGACACAAATGCATATATTGTATGTTATGCGTTATTTTGTTGATAGCTGATTTCCCTGAGTGAAAATGCACGGGTTCTCTTCATTAGATGTTTCAGGATCATGGTTAAAACCAAGACAACTCCTAGGAAGACAGGGAACCGCTGTCCGGTGTGTGCAGCAAGGTTAGATGACACGGCGGAGTGGTCAGAGCACCTGGTAGAATGTGGAAACCGGCAAAGAACATTAAAGAAAGGTAGGGTCAACGCCTATGGAGATTTAACATTAGCGTCGGCCCCACTTGGAATTTCAAAACAAGAAAAATCCAAAAAGGTATGGGTATAGGAAGCTTAAATCAGGAACAATTAGTTTCAGAATTTATTTGATGATAAATGGGACCTCCTTGACTTACACCTGTGTGGGTGTTAAAGTTGCAGTAATACAATTCCTCCTAGAGCATTTAAATGGCACAATAACTATTAAATTATACCATCATCGTGTGCAACGTATTTCAACTGTTATTTTGATACCGAATATTACACTATTTCAATAAAGAATGGTTCTTTTTATTTAAGAATCAAACAGAAAAATGTGTGAAATTTCATTTCTTATGAGAAATTTTTTCATTTTTGACACGTCGATTCATATAGTTCCAAAACTAGTCTATTTTTCTTACTTGTTAAAAAGTTGGCTACCAATAATGTCTTTCAACATCAGGAATTTCCAAAAAATTGAAAACCGGTTAATTTGGTCCAAAATAAGAAAAACATAGCTTTCTTTCCACATTTCCTTTAACCTAAGTTTCTTCATGACTAAAGGTCATTGGGTGTTGATATTTGGTAAGAAGGTTGTTCATGTAAATGAGTCTAAGTGTTGTAAATTTTGATGACATTGACCTTTGTTCAAGGTCACAAAAACCAAATGTGCCGAAATGGTTTTTTTGTATGGAGAGTCAGACAAGGGTATCTTTCCTTGCTCTATTTGTTTAGAGTTAACGATATAAAATAGTGTAATATCCATTCATTTTTGTTAAATAAATGGTCAAAAGGCTAAATAAATAATAACTATAACTGTAAGCCAAAGGTTAACTAAGGCAAAGCATTGCAAATTAATCCATAGTCTCCCACCAGTAATTATATATGTATATATGTCACTGACATACTTCTTGTACTCCCTCCCTATGCCAAAACATACTTTCATACCACATCTTGTTAGCCTAGTTGACCCACTTTTGCTGAAATCGTTCTAGTAGTTAAGGAAGAGTTATCAAGACAAAGATTTTTAACAAAGGGCCATAACTCCCTAAAAGGGTCGAAATGAACAAATACTACCCTGATGCAAAACATCAGGGGTAATACCATATCTGTAAGCTTTCATGAAATTCACCCAGAAGTTCAAGAGGCAGACAAAGTTTTTTTCAAGAAAAGGTCATAACTCCTTTTTAAAGGGTCGGAATGAAAACATACTTCTTGGATGCACAATGTCAGGGGGCAGTTACCATATCTGTAAACTTCCGCTGAAATTGGCCCAATAGTTTTGGAGGAGTTGTCTGGACAAGAGTTTTTCAACAAAGGGCCATTACTCACCGTAAAAAAAATGGTCAGATTGAAAAAAGAATTCCTGGATGCACACCATCAGACGGTTATAACTATATCTGGAAACTTTCGTTGAAATTGACCCCTTAGTTTTTTAGGACATAGCAGGACAAGGATTTTTCAACACAAGGCCATAACTTTGAGGGGAAAAAAGGTCAGAATGAAAAAATAATACCTGGATGCACAACTTCAGGTGTCAGTTATCATATCTGGAAACTTTCGTTGAAATTGGTCCACTACTTTAGAATGAGTTGACAGATAGACGGATAGACAAGCTGATTCCAGTATACCCCACCCCCTCTACCCCCATTCCCACCCT